GCAAACAATGTGGAACCAATTAAATAAGAAACGAATGTTTAAAAAAACTTCCAAAATCACCTTAGATAAACGGCAAAAGTCAACAGGCTTTTCAAAATCCAAAATACTGCCAAACAGGCGCTTTTGCATTTAGTTTCGAAACTAAATCATCCGTCATCGTCTTGTCTGTCTCACCTCACTCTTCTTGTCAGTCAGCTCGACTCACTCTCCTCACTGGAGAAATGAAATCCGATCTGTGATGCGACTGTTGTTCAGCACGCTGCATTGACCAGCCGCGTTCAGTTTTTAATTGTAGTGTCTGTTATTACTATAAAAAATCAAAACGACGGTGGGGGTCGGTGCCGCGGTGGGCAAGTGACGTAACCGGTGTTGCGGCTTAACAACGGTATCACCGTCAGCACCGTCTATCGCGGCAAGCCTACTGTACAGTAGTTATTTCATTGTCACAATTTCTTCAAGTTAAACCAAACTTACTGTATATTTGGCAGGTTGTAGAGAAGAGATTTGATTTTTTAAGTGAATCTAAATAAAACTATTAGTATTGTGTGTTTAATTAAATTATCTGCTTTTTACCTTCGTAGCACCTCCCTTGATCTTCATCTTCATCATCATCATCATGTCTGGGAAGTCAGACGGCGCGCAGAAGAAGTGGGCAGCTGTGCGAGGTCGCCTGGGCTCGTCTCAGGACTCGGACGGCTCGCAGGAGGCCAACCTGGAGAACGCAGACGCCGAGCTGTGCATCCGTCTGCTGCAGGTGCCCACCGTGGTCAACTACTCGGGCCTGAAGAAGCGTCTGGAGAAGAGTGACCAGACCTGGATGGTGCAGTTCCTGGAGCTCTCAGGCCTCGACCTGCTGCTGGAGGCCCTGGACCGTCTGTCGGGACGCGGCTGCTCTCGAATCGCAGACGCTCTGCTGCAGCTGACGTGTGTGAACTGTGTGAGAGCTGTGATGAACTCGTCCGCCGGGATTCACTTCATCGTGGATAATGAGGGATACGTGTGCAAGCTGTCGCAGGGTAGAGACGCTCTTACTGTCTTATTTCAACTAGGGCTGGGACAATAAATCGATGCATCGCGATTCATGGATCGATTCTGACATTTTCGGAATGCATCGTGATTCTCTCTGGAATTGATTCTGAGCTTAGTTTTTAACAGCAGATGGCGCTCTAGGCTAGTTTTTAACCACACACTCAAATGCTCACGAAGAAGAGCGCTTGTGCGTTCGGTTGAGTAATGTAAGTGTTTAAATGTACTTGCACATCGGCTTTTATGCTTTTATGATGCGAGTGTTCGGCTGAGTAATGTAAGTGGTTAAATGTACTTGCACATCGGCTTTTATGCTTTTATGATGCGAGATTAATGTAAACACAGCCCACTGTGAACATCCTTTGTTCATATGACATAATTCGCTTAAACCTTTTCGAACTTTATGAATGATTATTTTAGGTTCAAATGGTGCGTGTGTAAGGAACTGGAACCAAGCAGAATATGGCTGTTTCTAAAGTACGCAGCGCCATCTGCTGTTAAAAAGTAAGCTCAGAATCGATTCAAGAGAGAATCGCAATGCCTTCGGAAAATCTCAGACTCGATGCAGAATCATTTCTCGATTCGCGATGCATCGATTTATTGTCCCAGCCCTAATTTCAAATATTGCGTATTTTTGCTTAGTCTCTGAATAAAATTGAGTTGTTTTTTCCTCCATATTCTCACTATATCAGACTATATGAGCCATAAAAGCCTGATGCATCAAACATAATACTCATTAAAAAACACATATGCAAACTTACATTTTTTTTTTTACATATTTTTTCCAAAGTATAAATAATTCGTTCCATTTCCCAAAACAATTTTAATTTCAAAGGAATGTTTTATAGTCAGAATTAATTACTTTTAATCTCATAATTTTTACTTTCTATCTCATAATTCTGACAAGTCAATTATGAGATAAAAACGTCACAATTATGAGCTAGAAAGTTCAAAGGAATAGTTTAAAGGAAACTGCTCCTTTAAAACTGTGCACTGTCCAGTAGACAAGATAAATTCAGAAAACACGCATTCCTCCAAAGCATTGCTCACAGTATCTGCATTGCTCAATCTTCACACCTATCACATGCTTTGGCTGTTTTTTTAACCATCAGAAGTACAAAGTTCACATTACGTCTTCCAAAAATTAGCTGCTAACACATCCTAAAAGTGAAGAGGGAGAAACCGATGGAGCTAATCTAAAAACACTGTCTTTCCTTTCCCTTTCCCTCCAGCTTTGGACACATCTAACACCATGGTGAAGAAGCAGGTGTTTGAGCTGCTGGCGGCCCTCAGCATGTTCTCTTCTGAGGGTCACAGACTCGCTTTAGACGCTCTGGACCATTACAAGGCAAGTGTTCATATGATTTATATGATTGTATGATTCATGCTCCTCCATCTGGAGTTAAGGGATTGATATCAGGTCAGAACGAGTTTAAGTGTCCTAAGGGTTCAAATAAACAATATGCACTATAGTTTCATTTGTCAGGCTTTACGGGGATAGAGGAATAGTTCACACAAAAATAATTTACTCACCCTCGTGTCATTCCAAACCCGCATGAATTTCTTTCATACTTCTCTTTTGACGATGCACATGTTCACAATCCAAAAACAAGCCCGTCGAAGTCATGCAATCGCTGTTTCTACATCCGAAAGAAGGATTTGGCCCAACTAAACTATCAATTTAAACAAAAATTTACCGCCAACTACAGACCATCGAGTCCGCCATGTTTCTCATTCCCAACTGGGAAACTCAGGGCTTAAAGAAAATTTTGAATTTCCCACTCGTAGTAACGACTTTGTGGTGGCGTTCATGTGCGTTCAACTCGTAAATACGATCTATCCGACATGACTTGAACGCACCATTACACCTGGTGATCTGAAGTGCTGAAGTGCTGAGACAGATAACATGCGTCTCAAATGCGTCTCCTGTGACCGTTTGTGATGGATTTCTTCTCTTAATATATCAGTGTGTGACTGCATGTGGGTAAAAACACAAAACTTCACACACTATAGCTTCTAAATAGACTGAGGAATTTATTTATTATTTTATTATTTCTGCCAAAGTGACAGTTTGCACTGAAAAAAAAAAAAAAAAAGATTTTCTGAAAAGGCGATTTTCTTTTTGTATTTTTGTCTGGTTTTCCAGTACAAATATCTAAACATTCTTAAAGCAAGATACATTTACTTTATTTTTTAATTGCTTGCTGGCATATTTATTTATTTACTTACTTATATTTACTTAGATTTTAAGAAAAAAATAATCTTTGTTTTCATGAATATTTTCTTTCTTACCCAGTTGGCAGATATTATGATTTTTTTTTTTTTTTACTTATATATTTGCTTATTTATGTACATATCTCTTTACTTATTTACTTGCCTATTTACATATTTTTTTACATATCTACCTGCTTATTTATTTATTTATGTACTAGATTTAATTATGTCTGTAATGTACTAATGAGATTTTAAGAAAAAAATCTTGTTAGTCTTGTTTTGTTGAATTGTTTATTTGGCAGATATTTTTCTTGTTTTAAGCTTTAAACTCACTTTTATTTATTTAAATAATTAATTATTTATTTATTTTGAAAACTAAACGTAATATCTTGTCATGTACCTTCTCAAGTAAATGTGCCTTGATTTAAGAATGTTTAGGTACTTGTTATTGAAAAAAGACAAAAATACTAAGAAAATTAGTTGTGGTAGTTATATTAACTGAACTTAAACCAGAGATAGTCTGTGAAATCTTATGCATGCATATTTTATCAAATTTTCAATTGGACAATTATTTTCTTTTTTAAAGCGCAAAGGTTGATTGACAGGGCCTGCATGTTAAAATAAGCTCAATATAAAGTCTGCATGACGTTAGTGTTGATGCGAGTGTTGTGTTTGTCTAACAGTCTGTGAAGACACAGCAGTATCGATTCAGTGTGATTATGAATGAACTCCAATCCACTGATAATGTGCCTTACATGGTGACATTTCTGAGTGTCATAAACGCCCTGATCTTCAGCGCCGACGACCTGCGCCAGAGAGACAAGATGCGCAAGGAGTTCATTGGTACGTCAAACCTAGATACTGCATACTATGCACTTTGTATTGTCTGCAATCGCCTGTAATATTTTGAATAGTACATTAAACTTCTATTTACTGTATACTGCAGAAAAGTATGAGTAGCATGCAAGTATGCTGTTTTGAACACTGCTTTTATTCCAAATACAGCTTTTATAGAATACTAGCATACTACATACTGCACAGTGTACACTGAATACTGCCTACTGGTTATTAAAAATAGCATGTGAAATAGCAGGCAATACGCAACCATTTAGAACTTAGCATGCTTTTATTTTCATTGAATATGGAATACTGGCATACTACTTACTGCATACTGCACAGTGTACACTGAATGTTGCCTGCTTTTTGTTAAAAATAGAATATGAAACAGCATGCGATATGCAACTATTGAGACAGTAGTATTCTTTAGTGTTATTTCTGTTAATTGCAGTCTGGTTACATAATGAGTAAACAAAACTGTTGTAAATTGTTGTTGGTTACTGTATATTGCACATTTTGACTGATTTAGTAGGTGCAAAAATAGTATGAGTAGTATGGAAGAATGCTATTTTGAAAACAGTCCTTAATCAAAACGTCCTTAACATGGAATACTAGCATACTACTTACTGCATACTGCACAGTGAACACTGCATGCTGCCTGCTATTTATTAAAAATAGTATATGAAACAGCATGCAATGTGCAACTATTGAGACAGTAGTATGCTTTAATTTAGTGTTATTTCTGTAAATTGCAGTCTGATCACATGAGTAAAAAAAAACTGTTCAAGACATGCCCTTAGCATGCAATATAGAATACTTGCATACTACTTACTGCATACTGCACAGTATACACTGAATGCTACCTGCTGTTTATTAAAAATAGCATGTGAAACATCATGCAGTGTGCAACCATTCAGACAGTAGTATGCTATAATTTTGCTCATTTCGAGTCTTTTCCTGGAAAATAAATGTTTTTTAATGTAAATTGCAGTCTGATCACATAATTAGTAAAGAAAGTGTTAACTCTTGTTTCTTACTGTATATAGCACATTTTGACCAATTTAGTAGGTCATCTAGGTGTGCAACCTATTGTGCATGATATTCATATTGCATACTGCAAAAATAGTATGAGTAGCATGCAAGTATGCTATTTTGAACACAGCCCTTATTAAAATCTAAAATAGTACCTCAATGATACTAAAGTAACACATCTGTATATTGCACATTTGGACCATAGGTCATCTTTTCCTGGAAAATAAATGTTTTTTAATGTAAATTGCAGTCTGATCACATAATTAGTAAAGAAAGTGTTAACTCTTGTTTCTTACTGTATATAGCACATTTTGACCAATTTAGTAGGTCATCTAGGTGTGCAACCTATTGTGCATGATATTCATATTGCATACTGCAAAAATAGTATGAGTAGCATGCAAGTATGCTATTTTGAACACAGCCCTTATTAATAAAATCTAAAATAGTACCTCAATGATACTAAAATAACACATCTGTATATTGCACATTTGGACCATAGGTCATCTGAACTGTGCACAATATGCATACTGCATACTGCAAAACTAGTATGAGTAGTGTGGTTAGTATGCAGTTGCTAACAGAAGTGATCAGGTCTTAATTGCATTCACCTGTTTGTCACTCAAGCACACGCCTCCTGTTTTGTGCTTTAACACAACTGAGCTTTCCAACAGAGCGCTAGATGTTTTTGAGCATTGTTTATGGTATATTCATGGACTTTGTTTATTTTCATCTACCAGGATTACAGCTGCTTCACCTGCTGCCAAAGTTAAGGTGAGTTTGTTTAATTAATTGAAATGTGCAACTGTGCACAGAAAAACAAGTAGAAATGCACACTGAGCAAAGGAAATTAAACATGCAATAAAGCTGAAGCTGGAATATTCAGTTAGTGTGTGTGTGTGAGAGAAGAAGATGATGAAGACTTGATCATCCAGTGTGAGGCGTTTGAAGAGGCTATGGCTGAGGATGAGGACGAGCTCCTGAGGCTTTATGGAGGAATTGACATGAGCAACCATCAGGAAGTCTTTACATCTCTGTTTAACAAGGTGAGCAGCAAGGGATCAGCCATAATGCCAAAAATATTATTATTATTAGATTTTTTTTTGTCCCCTTTCATACGATATCAATAGTCGTTTATCATTAATGGGGAAGGAAATGCTTTCCCAATGTTTGTCTGACCTGGAGAATGAATGTAAACATAACTTGTTTGTTCACAACCTTTAAATGTAGTGCTGCATGAAATGCATTTTATTTTTCCCTAAATTCTGCATTTTTCACTTGATTTTTTTCTGCATTCTGTGTCTTATGATTTAATACAAATTTATCATCAAATCTAATCAAATGAAAAAAAATAACAGTTAATTTACAACAAAACGTTTTTTTTGTTTTTGTTTTGCCTTTAAATGTAGTGCTGCATGAAATGCATTTTATTTTTCCCTAAATTCTGCATTTTTCACTTGATTTTTTTCTGCATTCTGTGTCTTATGATTTAATACAAATTTATCATCAAATCTAATCAAATGAAAAAAAATAACAGTTAATTTACAACAAAACGTTGTTTTTTTTGTTTTTGCTTTGTTTTTTTCAAATAAGATGCTGCATAAAAGAACTGTATGAATTAAGACACGAATGAAAAAAAAAATCCTGGTTGTATGATATTCCTTAAAAATAAAAATATTATTATTGTTTCTTTATGAAGTGGGTCAGACAAGACATCCCGTTTAATAAAATGTACAAACGTTATTTTATATACAGAGTCTAGAAAGTATAATAAATGCAAATAGTGTTTACTTTAATGTTTCAAATAACTTTTGTAGAAAAAAAGTCAAAATATGGGTAAAAATAATGTTCCATCGTCATTCAGTCGAATCAACGTACTTATTCTGACCTGTACTTATTAAAATTATATATACATCTTGGAGACGTTGCCACAGTTCTTCTGGGTTTAGTCCGTCTCAGTTTGTTCGGTTTCTTCATGTTTGTTTGACCCTCTAACTCTAGCACTCTCTATTCTAATTCTATTCTTAAAAAATGTGCCCCTTTTAGACTTGCACTCTATGCATTTACTAACTGCTTGTATTTTTTAATTAAAAAAAAACTAACACTAGCTTCTCTATTCTTTTGTATTGTTTTCTTTTTATTTATTATACAATTAACAAAAAGCAAAAAAAGGCCTCTAACACTAGCTTGCTCTATTCTGTCTGTTTTCTTTTTATTTATTATATAATTAAAAAAAAAAACTTGCTACGTGTGCTGCATTAAGCTAACTGAGGCTTGTTATAGCACTTGCGTATCATTGCTCTCTTGTTGATTCTGATTGCTTCTATTGTCCTCATTTGTAAGTCGCTTTGGATAAAAGCATCTGCTAAATGACTAAATGTAAATGTCACTCCAGACAGACTGATGATGATGATCAGATCTCTGTGTGGAGCAAACAAAAATCTCACTGCATTATTACAATTAATGGCAAAATGAATGTTTGGATATGTAAACTGATATTTCCTACTCGCACACTACAGCAAAAGATAGAAATAACTGACTTAAAACCATGTTTTAGCTGGTGAGAAGAATACTAGTGTTCTAATCATTTTGGCCACCACTGTATATTTTAGTACACAACAGTACAGATAAATTCTGTCGTGGTCATGGCTCATCTTTCAGATCTGCGATGATCTCTCTGTGTTCTCGGCTCGTGTGGTGTGTTTGCAGGTGAGCAGCTTCCCGTCGTCTCTGCAGCTGTTGTCCGTCTTACAGGCGCTGCTGCTGCTGGGTCCCGAGCGAGCGGATATCTGGCAGGCGCTGGAGGTGCTCGCTAACCGAGCCGTACTGATCGCTCAGAGCTGTGAGTTTCTCTCTGCGTTCCACTCGGTTTCTCATAGGATTCGGTTTGAAACACTGGCCCCTTTAATATTAGTGCTTTGACGGTGAATAGTTGTCTGTACTACTGTGGAGATCACAACAATCTAACATAGTACATTATTCTCAAATGTTGAAAAGTTGTGGCTGGCTGTCAATATTACAGATCCTGTTTTTTTTTAACTAAGGGGCACAATCACTCACTAAGAAAGTTTATTTATTTATTTTTTTGGATTACCATATTCTGTGGCATTACTATGACATACAGCAATCATTCAATACCATGGTATTTATTTATTTACTTGTACTTATTTACTTGCTTTGTTATTTTTATTTATGGTCTTATATTTATTTACTTACTCATGCATCACTTTGCATCACTTTCTTGCTTATTTACTTTTTTACTTGATTATTTACTTATTTGTTTGTATATCTACTTTCTTATTTACATATATACATTTACTTTATTTACTTTTTACCTATAATGTACTTATGCTTTCTTATTTACATTTATTTAATTTAATTGCTTATTTAATTTTAGTCTTATTTCCTTATACATTTACTTGCTTATTTACTTTTTTGTTATATTTACATATATTTATTCACTTGTTTACTTTACTTACTTATGTACCTATATATTAGCTTTATTTAGTTGTATACTTGATTATTTTCTTGTTGTCTTTTATATTTGCTTGCTTATTTACGTATATCGATTACTTATTTTCTTAATTTATTATTTATGAAATAATCAACGGCTTGCCGTGCATTAAAGGATTTTAAATACACGACGTGGAGGCCAAGAACCACCCGACGCGAAACAGAGAGAGAGATGACAGTTGTGTAAACAATTAACTACTTCACAAACAGCCGATTTTACCATCTCGCTGTTGAGGAATATAATGTAGCGATCTAGTATCTATTAATAAAAATCGCGGGGAAGCGTTGACAACAAGTTTGTGTGTGTGTGATCTCTGACTCTGTGCGAGGTCTTTCTCTCTCTCTGTGTGTGTGTGTGTGTGTGTGTGTGTGTGGTGAGTGATATGTATATCAGCGATGCTCTCAGCGATTCCCACCCACACACACACATACTCTCACACACACACTCACACACACACTTCAGCCTGACATTGCATTAACATCCAGAACGGCGTTCGGCGTGCGTGGGTGTGTTTGTGTGTGTGTGTGTGTGTGTGTGTGTGTGTGTGTGTGTGTGTGTGTGCTCAAGTGATGTGTGTTTGTGTGCATCAATTAAAGCAGCGCATTAATATGGAACGGTTGTGTTTATTTATTTAATTATTTTTATTTATGGTCCTATACTTATTTACTTGCTTGCTTCAAACTTGCTAATTTATTTTTTTACTTCATTGTTTATTTTCTTTTATATTAATTTGCTTATGTACATTTATTTATTTACTTAACTTTACACTTATTTACTTTATTGACTTACATACTTATTTGCATTTTTATTTCAATTATTTACTTGCTTATTTATTAATTAATTGATTTATTTCCTTTTAAATTTGATTTTTTAAACAAATGTATAAGGAAAAAAATTGAATTTATCACTAAATTATGCTAATATTTACTTGAAGTTACTTATTTGCTTGTGTGTTTATTTATGTTTAATGTTTGTTTGTAAGATTTAATTTTGCCTGTACACTCTTAAAAATAAAGGTGCTTCACGATGCCATAGAAGAACCTTTTTTGTCTAAATGGTTCCATAAAGAACCTTTAACATCTGAAGAACCTTTCTGTTTCACAAAAGCTTCTTTGTGGTGAAAGAAGGTTCTTCAGATTATAAAAAGGTAAGAAAGAGAGGGTTCTTTGACTGAATGGGTTTTTGCGGAACCAGAAATGATTCTTCTATGGCATTCCTCTGAAGAACGTTTTGAAGCACCTTTATTTTTAAGAGTGTAATGTACTGATGAAATGTGATGGTTTCACAAAGTGATTTTTCCTCTCTCTCTGTGGGTTCAGCTGAGATGGACTCATGTGAGAAGATCCTGCAGCGTCTCGTCTTCACTAAGGAATCGTCCAAAGGCTCTTATGAGGTCGATGCTTACGAATCCAAAAGAAAGAATCAAGCCGTACAGACGGAGACCAAAGACGATAAACTGGAGTGTTCCTGCAAACCAGCCAAAAACCAGGAACCTCCGCGCAACTCCACAAAGACTGGACCTGCTCCTCCTCTGCCCAGCATGGCTTCTCCTCCCATCTCAGCAGTGCCTCTCAAAACAGGAGCTGGACCTCCTCCTGCACCACCTCCTCCTCCTCCTCCTCCTCTGCCAGGAATGGGTGCTCTTCCTCCTCCTCCTCCTCCTCCTCTGGCAGGAATGGGTGCTCTTCCTCTTCTTCCTCCTCCTCCTCCTCCAGGAGCAGGTGATGTGATCGTGGCTCGGATTTATTATCCGGGTATCCAGTGTTACTCGGCGCCGGTGAGGAGCGGCCCGCATCCCACGCTCCGGATGAAGAAACTCAACTGGCAGAAGCTGAACTCCAGAGCCGTCACCGGTGAGATCCGTGAAGAACGCTTCCATTCCCAGTAGGGCTGCACGATAAATCGCATGCGATAGTCATGCGCCTCTCGTCAGTAAAGCTGGTTCTGTGATTAGTAGTAAATCTCCAGCACGTGCGTTCAGATGGAGCAGCATTTACTACACAGAGTACTACACAGTAGTTCACTGAAACGCTATGCAATATCGCGTTCATTATCGCAGACGATTTAATCACGCGATAACATAGGCGCGGGAAGTGGGGGTGCTGAGGGTGCTGCAGCACCCCCTGTTTTTTTCTGTGCAATGGGCAACTGTTTAACTGTTGGGAATACAAAAAAAAATAAAAATCAAAGTGTCTATTTTACACTGTGTAAATAGCCCTCCTTGTTGGAAGAGGCTATTTACACTAACTCTACCCACCAACGTGTGATTGGGCTAGTCAACCTTACAAAAGACGGCCATCAGTCGTCAGATTCAGTAGTGTAGATGGTAAAGTGTGTGTCATACTGTTTTTGACGCGATCAACCTGGGTTCGAATCTGCCTTTTGGCAAACTTTTTTTTCTCCCTTTTCAAATTTCAGATCACATCAGAAAAGCATTTATTTTTTATAAACATTAAGGAAATAATCAAAAAGTTGAAAATAAAGTATCTGGTTGGGTTAGGGTAGGTGTAGGGAGGGCTTTTGTCCCAGTAAGGTGACATCCATTTAATCATTTGAATTAAAATTCTAATTTACAATCCAAGTTATTATTGCATACTGTTTTATAATGTATTACAATGCTGAGGTGCAGATAATTGCCACTATTTGCAATAAGTAATTAGCAGAACATCCTGCTATTTTAACACAGTATAAATAGAATCTAGCTATTTGCAGTGTAAATAGCATATCACTAAAATACTGCTATTTTCACTTAGTGTAAATAGGCTCTATTGTGCGAACACCACCATCACTGTATCGTTTTGATAGAGCGAAACAAGATACAATTCTAATTTTAACATTATTTCTTCTTCAGACATTTGTTCGTTAAATAAAATAAGTATCAGCTGCATACAAAGTCACCAAATCTGGTTTTCAAGCACTGAAAATGGGTAATATTCAACAGTCTGGACATGGAGCCTCATTGAGATCGCCATATCTCTGGGACTGAACGATGTAGGGCCTTGAAATTTAAGATTCCAAAAGAAAAGTTTATTAAGAACTAGAATCTAAAATCATATTGCGATATCTTTAATACTTCTTGAGTTATAGGCACGCAAACTTTGGAAAAAGAATATTTATGGCACTCAGATAGGTATGTTCAATGCAGTTATCTTGACATTTCAACATTATTTGTTCTTCAGACATTCCTCTTTAAAAGAAAAGAACCTGCTCCTCCTCCTCCTCCTCCTCTGCCCAGCATGGCTTCTCCTCCCATCTCAGCAGTGCCTCTCAAAACAGGAGCTGGACCTCCTCCTGCACCACCTCCTCCTCCTCCTCCTCCTCTGCCAGGAATGGGTGCTCTTCCTCCTCCTCCTCCTCCTCCTCTGGCAGGAATGGGTGCTCTTCCTCTTCTTCCTCCTCCTCCTCCTCCTCCAGGAGCAGGTGATGTGATCGTGGCTCGGATTTATTATCCGGGTATCCAGTGTTACTCGGCGCCGGTGAGGAGCGGCCCGCATCCCACGCTCCGGATGAAGAAACTCAACTGGCAGAAGCTGAACTCCAGAGCCGTCACCGGTGAGATCCGTGAAGAACGCTTCCATTCCCAGTAGGGCTGCACGATAAATCGCATGCGATAGTCATGCGCCTCTCGTCAGTAAAGCTGGTTCTGTGATTAGTAGTAAATCTCCAGCACGTGCGTTCAGATGGAGCAGCATTTACTACACAGAGTACTACACAGTAGTTCACTGAAACGCTATGCAATATCGCGTTCATTATCGCAGACGATTTAATCACGCGATAACATAGGCGCGGGAAGTGGGGGTGCTGAGGGTGCTGCAGCACCCCCTGTTTTTTTCTGTGCAATGGGCAACTGTTTAACTGTTGGGAATACAAAAAAAAATAAAAATCAAAGTGTCTATTTTACACTGTGTAAATAGCCCTCCTTGTTGGAAGAGGCTATTTACACTAACTCTACCCACCAACGTGTGATTGGGCTAGTCAACCTTACAAAAGACGGCCATCAGTCGTCAGATTCAGTAGTGTAGATGGTAAAGTGTGTGTCATACTGTTTTTGACGCGATCAACCTGTGTTCGAATCTGCCTTTTGGCAAACTTTTTTTTCTCCCTTTTCAAATTTCAAATCAGATCAGAAAAGCATTTATTTTTTATAAACATTAAGGAAATAATCAAAAAGTTGAAAATAAAGTATCTGGTTGGGTTAGGGTAGGTGTAGGGAGGGCTTTTGTCCCAGTAAGGTGACATCCATTTAATCATTTGAATTAAAATTCTAATTTACAATCCAAGTTATTATTGCATACTGTTTTATAATGTATTACAATGCTGAGGTGCAGATAATTGCCACTATTTGCAATAAGTAATTAGCAGAACATCCTGCTATTTTAACACAGTATAAATAGAATCTAGCTATTTGCAGTGTAAATAGCATATCACTAAAATACTGCTATTTTCACTTAGTGTAAATAGGCTCTATTGTGCGAACACCACCATCACTGTATCGTTTTGATAGAGCGAAACAAGATACAATTCTAATTTTAACATTATTTCTTCTTCAGACATTTGTTCGTTAAATAAAATAAGTATCAGCTGCATACAAAGTCACCAAATCTGGTTTTCAAGCACTGAAAATGGGTAATATTCAACAGTCTGGACATGGAGCCTCATTGAGATCGCCATATCTCTGGGACTGAACGATGTAGGGCCTTGAAATTTAAGATTCCAAAAGAAAAGTTTATTAAGAACTAGAATCTAAAATCATATTGCGATATCTTTAATACTTCTTGAGTTATAGGCACGCAAACTTTGGAAAAAGAATATTTATGGCACTCAGATAGGTATGTTCAATGCAGTTATCTTGACATTTCAACATTATTTGTTCTTCAGACATTCCTCTTTAAAAGAAAAGAAGTCTCATATTTTTGCAAACTGACCCACATTTGGCTTTTGACCACTGAAAATGTGTACATTTTAACGATTTACTTCTGGAGCCATATTACAATTCCAATATCTCTGGACCCGAACCATATAGGGCCTTAAAAATAAAGATGCCAAAAGGAAAGTTTGTTAAGACCCAATATGTAAAAGGGCATTAAGATATCTTTAATACTACTTGAGTTACAGGCCTGCAAACTTTGGAGACAAAACTTGAAAAGTGCTGTTTCCCCATTTTTGGATGGTCACCATTGGTACATAATGCAACAAAGATTGCTAAAGTCAATAGATTTTACTAACAGGCCTACCAATCTCTGTGTAAAAATAATATTATGATGCTGCCATCTTTCTGAAGTCATTTTTACATCCCTGTAATTTGACTCTGAATCTCAGGTGAAAATTGCCATTTTGAACCCCGCCCCCCTCTACAAAAAAGCAGATTACTCAGTAAATATTCATCCATGACATTTAATATTTTGGCTTTCATCACTATACATGTCTATCTTTCATCAGAAAAAATATTAGCAACATAAAAACTTTACAGTATTTAAAAAAACAAATCAGCTTGTTGTAAACATTGTTTAAACTAAAACTCAATACAAATTACATAGACATTAAAAATGACAAACACAATAATAATGACATATTAAAAAATATAAAAATGACAAACAAAATTATTAAAACATTAATTAAAAAAACAATATAAAAATTAAATCTAATTGAAAATAAAATGCAAAAATGCAGACATTTTATTACAGCTAGTTGCAAATATATAGACATTTAATAAATTACAAATAAAAAATAAAATAATAAGTGACAAACATAACAAAATTACTAAAGCTTCTGCTGAAATTAAAATGAAAACTGAAAATATAAAAATAAAATAGTTCAAAATATTAAAAATAAAAACAAAAGTAAAAATTTTTAGCTAGTTGCAAATATGTAGATATTTAAAAAAAAAATAATAATAAAATAAGTGACAAACATGGCAAGATTACTAAAACCTTAACTAAAATTAAAATGAAAACAGAAAATATTAAAAATAAAATCTAATTCAAAATATTAACAAAATATTAAAAATGTAAACCTTTTATTTCAGCTAGTTGCAAAGGCAGCATTTCTTTTCTTTTTTTTTTAAGTTAATGTACTAAATGAACTAAAACTAAAACTCCATAATTAAATATGTAGACATTTTTGAAAAAAAAAAAAAATAATCCTAAAATATACAAATAAATCTAATTTAAAAATAATAATAATAGTGTATCAATGGTAACAAAATAGCACTTCTAATAGCCAGGCCATTCATTATTTAATATTTAGTTAATTTTTTATTGGTTTTAATTTAGAAGCAGGTTTATCTGAATTAGTTGAGAGCAAAATAACAGAATAAATAATTCAAATTCCTTTGAATTTGATGTGGCCGTACAGACAATATTTTTTATTTTATTTTTTATTTTATTTTTTATTAAAACATCAGGCATGATAAACAAGTTGAGAAAGTAACACAAAATTACCAGAAATATGTGTAGATTTTAATTAGAATTTCTGTCTGTCCAAAAGTATAATTATTTCAGAGTATTGGTTTCCGCTCATGGATAACGTAATTGCAAAGTGCCTCAAACTGAACTGTGACTCTCAGAAGCATTCATTAAATCAGCTTAGATTATGACTGGAAGTGATGCTTTCTATCAGCTCTTGCATTCTTGTGTGCAAACACAGCGCATGTTGTTCTTTCATAGATGGTCCTTCAATGTGGGCGTCTGTCACGAGCGAGTCTCCTCTGGAGCCCAATTACAGCAGCATCGAGCAGCTCTTCTGTCTGCCGCCGGCCGAACCCAAAGACAAGAGCCCCGCCGCGCCGCTCAAGAAACAGCCCAAGGAGGTGAGAGACCCTTCAGAGGACGACTCCACACTGAACTAATGAAAGCGACGCAGAGCACGACTTGATTTTGTCATTGGGAATAGATGAACAGATAATTGATTGAGGACGTCAGCTGAAAGGGAAAGTCGTTTCAGAGCTTATTTCTTTAAAATATAGAGCCTTATGATTTCTATTTTGCGGAAAACGCAGACTGAATCACAGAATCCAGTCATCAATCATTTTGGATGAATAAGTCAAAAGTAGGGCTGTACAATGAATCAAAAAAGACTATTTAAAAATGAATGTAGTTCTCAAAGTAATAATAATTTATTACCACTGTTTTTATATAAGTTTGTATCAGATCATAAATCCTGAAAAAGTAAAATGCACAACACAGAAATTCTGAAAAAGAAAAAAAAAGCATTTCATATAGGGCTCTATTACTGTAAAAACAATAAAATAAAAATTAAGTTGTTAGTTTTATGAATTCAATTATTTAGACATGTTTTTTTTTTTTATTTAACGTTTAAAACGGAGGCTTGAAAATTTTAAATAGAAAAAAAGAATCCTGAAAAATTACAATGGGGGAAAAAAACTGAATTTGGAAAAGAATACAAATGGAATTTGTGAAAAAATAAAATGGATTTCATTGGAATGTAAAAATTTAATTTGTTAAACTCTTAATAAATCATTAAATTGTTTAAGTCCTATGATTACAATTAATTACACATTCTTTTTTTATTACTAAATTTTAATTTAACAAAAAAAATTGTAATGGAAAAAAACAAGTCCTGAAAAAACTGATTTTTTTGGGAAAAAAATAAAAACTGAATTTGAGGGGAAAAAATGCATTTCATAGAAATGAAAAATGTCATTTTGTCAAGCATTTAATAAATTGTTCAATTGCAGAAGTCTCATGATTACAATTAATTACACATGCTTTTTGATTACTAAAATTGAATTTAACCTTTAAAACGGAGTTTTGAAAAATTTAAAGGGGTCATATGATGCGATTTCAAGTTTTCCTTTCTCTTTGGAGTGTTACAAGCTGTTCGTGAATTTCGGCCAATCACAATGCACTGGGTCAGCTGGCCAATCAGAGCAGACTGCGCTTGTCGGAAGGAGGGACTTTGTAGAAAACGAAGCCTTTGAGAGAGGCGGGCCATAGAGGACCTACTATAATGTACAGTATTTGAAAAATAATGTGTTTTTTTAACATTAAAGCATGTCAACATATTCTGTTACACCAAATACACAAAATAATGACCTTTAAAAAAGTATCATATGACCCCTTTAAATAGAAAAAAAGAATCCTGAAAAATTACAATGGGGAAAAAAACAGAATTTGGAAAAGAATAAAAATGGAATTTGTGAAAAAATAAAGTGGATTTCATTGGAATGTAAAAATGTAATTTGTTAAACTCTTAATAAATCATTAAATTGTATAAGTCCCATGATTACAATTAATTACACTTTCTTTTTGATTACTAAAATTTAATTTAACCAGACAAATTGTAATGGAAAAAACAAGTCCTGAAAAAAAAAAAAACGGAATTTGTGAAAAATTTAAACCGATTTCATAGGGCCTGTAGTATGACATCACTGATGAATAAGTCACAAATAAAAAAATTTTCTCCTATTTCTCAGATTTCCTTCATTGACCCCAAGAAGAATTTGAACCTGAATATCTTTCTGAAGCAGTTTAAGTGGTAAGATCAGACGTTTTGGATTGGTTAGCGCGTTTATGTGATGAGACGTTTAAGATTATTTGTTTGTTTCTCTCACAAACAGCTCAAATGAAGAGTTTGTTTCAATGGTGCAGAAAGGAGATTGTTCGAAATTTGACGTCGAGTCCCTGAAACAGCTTCTGAAACTGCTTCCAGAAAAACACGAGGTACTTCCCTGTAAAATATGATCATTTGCAAGTATCTCACATTCATAGACCTTGATGCAAATGAAAACAAAACTCACAATCAGTGTTTTCTGTCATTTGTGACCCTGGAGCACAAAACCAGTCATAAAGGTCAGTTTTACAAAATTGAGATTTATACATCATCTGAAAGCTGAATGTGGGGTTCCTCAGGGATCGATTTTAGGACCACTGCTTTTTAATCTTTATATGTGACCCTGGACCACAAAACCAGTCATAAGGGTCAATTTTTCGAAATTGAGATTTATACATCACATGAAATCTGAATAAATAAGCTTTCCATTGATGTATGGTTTGTTATGATAGGACAATATTTGGATGATATACAACTATTTGAAAATCTGGAATCTGAGGGTGCAAAACAATCTAAGTATTGAGAAAATCATCTTTAAAGTTGTCCAAATTAAGTTCTTAGCAGTGCATATAACTAATAAAAAAATAAGTTTTGATATATTTACAGTAGGAAATTTACTAAACATCTTCATAAAACATGATATTTACTTAATATCCTAATGATTTTTGGCATAAAAGAAAAATCAATAATTTTGACCCATACAATGTATTGTTGGCTATTGCTACAAATATACCCCAGCGACTTAAGACTGCTTTTGTGCTCCAGGCTCACATTTTGATGTGCATCAGAGTAAATCTGCAGTCTGTCCTGTTTATGATCAGTTGAGTGTTTTGCGTTTAACTTCTTCAGATTGACAACTTAAAATCCTTTCAAGGAGATCCGGACAAACTGGCCAACGTGGACCACTTTTACCTCTCACTGCTGGCTGTACCCTGGTAAAGAGTCACTAAAACCCAAATTCACACATTGTTCTTCTGATACTATGTGTGCATGAGGCAGTTATTAGTCTGTTTGGTCTGTGATCAGTTACCAGCTGAGGACTGAATGCATGCTGCTGTGTGAGGAGACGCTGTCTGTGCTGGAGATCCTGAAGCCCAAGGTGGAGCTGGTGGAGACGGCTTGTGAGAGTGAGTGCTGATTAAAACTGTTCTGCTCTTAAAGATCTTCAGCAGAGCAGAGTGTAACGGGCAGTTTAAGATTCGAAGCGTTCTGTGAGATTCGTGTGCAACACGTGAGAGATCACTTTTTAACATTTATTTATTTGTTTTTTAATGTTTTTTATTTTATTTGTTTTGTTTATTTATTTATTTTTGTTTTTGTATGTAATTTATTTATTAATGTTGTGTTTTATTTTTTGTATTTATTAATTTATCTATTGTTTTGTTTTTGTTTTTCTATTTTATCAATTTATTATTTAGCTAATTAATTTGCGTTTTATTCGTTTTATTTATTTTTGTTTTTGTATGTAATTTATTTATTAATGTATTGTTTGTGTATTTAATTTTTATTTGTTTGTTTTTTTTGTGTTTATTAATTTATCTATGGTTTTGTTTTTGTTTTTCTATTTATTTTATCCATTTATTTATTTAGCTAATTAGTTTGTTTATTTGTGTTTTATTTGTTTTGTTTGTTTATTTATTTTGGTTTTTGCATGTAATTTATTTATTAATAATATATTGTTTGTGTATTTAATTTATTTGTTTTGTTTGCTTTATTTTTTGTATTTATTAATGTATCTATTGTTTTGTTTTTGTTTTTCTATTTATTTTATCCATTTATTTATTTAGCTAATTTTTATTTGTTTATTTTATTCATATATTTTATAGTTTATTTCATTTTTTTATTTGTTTTGTATATTTATTTTTTATTTGTTTTGATTGTGTATTTTATTTTTTTGTATTTATTAATTGATCTATTGTTTTTGTTTTTCTATTTATTTTATCCATTTATTTAGCTAATTAGTTTTGTTTATTTGTGTTTCATTTGTTTTGTGTATTTTATTTTTGTTTGTTTGTTTTTGTTCATATATTTTAGTTTTTCATTTTTCATTTGTTTTGTGGTGTTTCTGTATTTTATTGTTTTGTGTATTTTATTTTTGTTTTTTGTATTGTATTTTTGTTTGTTTATTTTATGTATTTTTTGTTTTTGTTTTTTGTGTGTGTATTTTTATTTTTTTATTTGTTAATTTACTTTTCGCAATTTAAAAGTTCACATACTGGAAAAAAATGTTCACACAAAATTTTGCAAACATCAGTGCATTTGTTAATGCTTTGCACACGTTTTTGTTTAATGTACAGTATTTATTAGCGCACACAGAATTAATGTTTTTGCAAAATTAATGAATGCTCCCAAAAATAACATTTTGGAGCTCAGTGAAGTGTGTCGCCCACAGATCTCAGGAAAGGTTCACTGCTGCCCAGCTTCTGCAAACTCATCCTCGACGTTGGAAACTTTCTCAACTATGTAAGAAAATCACAATTAAAGAGTTTGATCTTCATCAAAGGCAAAGAACACTATGGCATGTCCCTACCAATATCCAGCCACTAAATTGTCCCTAGCAATAATTTTGATCAAACAATTAAATGTGTATGTAAGCACTGTTGTTGTAATTTGGGCCGCATCTGAAATAGATCACACCATTGATATTACCTGAGAAGCTAAAGAAATATGCTAGAAAACTCAAATTAAATAGTTAAACTAAAGTAATCACACATTAACCATGGTTTTGCTATACTTGCCATATAGCTTCACCATGGTATTTGTTGTAAAACTAGTCCTGTCCGAATAGGGCTTAATACAATCAGATAAAACAAGAATTTCTCAAATATTTATTTTATCTGACATGTATTTTGAGCTGCAGCTTGGAGTGCTTCACTAGTTGGCAGTAAACCGGTTACCTCACCTGAATATCTTCGTGTTGGATGTTATCTTTGGAATGGAAATATTGGTTTTATTTGTAAACATCATACTTTTTTCACTTATTTCAGTTATTAATGTCATAAAACTAGCGAGCTGAGCCAGTAGTAGTGCTGTGTCGTGAAAACATGACTGAAGACACGAAAAGCGGCGGAACGGACAAACCGATTCAGTTGAGTGAGTCTTTTACGCCGGAACCGCTCCGATTGATTCAAACTCGTGACTTCGGTCATTCTGTTCAAGCAATTCACTAGCAAAAACCAGATCAAAAGGCCATTCATTTTCAAATTTCGACATCGCTCAGAACATTTGATTCGGAACATTTGATTCAGATCGGGACTTCAAATCATGTATCGCGAATCATTTGATTCAGATCGGGACTTCGGAGCGTGTTTGTAAATCATTTGATTCAGATCGGAACTTCGGAGCGTGTTCCTGAATAATTTGATTCAGATCAGAACTTCGGAGCGTGTTCGTGAATCATTTGATTCAGATCGGAACTTCGGAGCGTGTTCCTGAATAATTTGATTCAGATCAGAACTTCGGAGCGTGTTCGTGAATCATTTGATTCAGATCGGAACTTCGGAGCGTGTTCGTGAATCATTTGATTCAGATCGGAACTTCGGAGAGTGTTCGTGAATCTTTTGATTCCGATCGGAACTCCGGAGAGTGTCCGTGAATTATTTGATTCAGATCGGAACTTCGGAGCGTGTTCAGAACTTCGGAGCGTGTTCGTGAATCATTTGATTCCGATCGGAACTCCGGAGAGTGTTCGTGAATTATTTGATTCAGATCGGAACTTCGGAGCGTGTTCGTGAATCATTTGATTCCGATCGGAACTCCGGAGAGTGTTCGTGAATTATTTGATTCAGATCGGAACTTCGGAGCGTGTTCGTGAATCATTTGATTCCGATCGGAACTCCGGAGAGTGTTCGTGAATTATTTGATTCAGATCGGAACTTCGGAGCGTGTTCGTGAATCATTTGATTCAGATCGGAACTTCGGAGAGTGTTCGTGAATCTTTTGATTGAGATCGGAACTTCGGAGAGTGTTCGTGAATCTTTTGATTCAGATTGGAACTCCGGAGAGTGTCCGTGAATTATTTGATTCAGATCGGAACTTCGGAGCGTGTTCCTGAATAATTTGATTCAGATCAGAACTTCGGAGCGTGTTCGTGAATCATTTGATTCAGATCGGAACTTCGGAGCGTGTTCGTGAATTATTTGATTCAGATCGGAACTTCGGAGAGTGTTCGTGAATCTTTTGATTCCGATCGGAACTCCGGAGAGTGTCCGTGAATTATTTGATTCAGATCGGAACTTCGGAGAGTGTTCGTGAATCACTTGATTCAGATCGGAACTTCGGAGAGTGTTCGTGAATCTTTTGGTTCAGGTCGGAACTTCGGAGCGTGTTCGTGAATTATTTGGTTCAGATCGGAACTTCGGAGAGTGTTCGTGAATCTTTTGATTCCGATCGGAACTCCGGAGAGTGTCCGTGAATTATTTGATTCAGATCGGAACTTCGGAGCGTGTTCGTGAATCATTTGATTCAGATCGGAACTTCGGAGAGTGTTCGTGAATCTTTTGATTCCGATCGGAACTCCGGCGTGTTCGTGAATCACTTGATTGAGATCGGAACTTCGGAGAGTGTTCGTGAATCTTTTGATTGAGATCGGAACTTCGGAGAGTGTTCGTGAATCTTTTGATTCAGATTGGAACTTCGGAGCGTGTTCGTGAATCATTTGATTCAGATCGGAACTTCGGAGCGTGTTCGTGAATCATTTGATTCAGATCGGAACTTCGGAGCGTGTTCGTGAATCATTTGATTCAGATCGGAACTTCGGAGCGTTTTCACAAATGTTTTTCTCTGATTTCTTTTTTTATTAAACAGTAAAAAACAAACCATTAAGACAGTAGGCCTACATTTCTATAAACAAAACAAAGAAAAAAGAAAACGTAGGCCTATACAAAAATACAAATCCCTTAAAAAAATGAACTGGTTTTATTAAAACAAAAAGTGTAGTAACCATGTTTTTTTTTGTATAACCACAGTTTTACTAAAAAATACCATGGTTAAACTATGGTTAATTTGTGGTTACCATGGTTTAACTATAGTTTAAAAAAAAAATAATAACAGCTTTTAATATCACGTAAATTCGTCCCCCGCACTTTTTCGGGCAAGTGTGTTCGCATAGAGGTTTTCAAGAGCCGGTGTGAATAAATATAGATTTAAATTCAAAGAGTCTGTGCATGATCTGATATTTTATTCGGACCCAGAATAAGGCGAGATGAACATCGCGGAGCGCTAAACACTCTGTACAGTGTATGTTTCATTCATACTCGAAGCCGGAGGGCGAGGAAATCCCTAATATGGACAAAAGCGTCCAGCTATCGCTGTATGAAAACAATTGTTTTCAGAAAAACAGAAACGTTTGGAAACATGAAGACATTAAACATATGATTGTGACAATATATGGTTTATTTGTGTTTGTCAGGTCATCTCCAGGTAATAAATAAAGTATATGAACAATGCAGTGCTAATTGACATAGCATTTATTACAGTATATAAACTATTCTGCCTTATTATGTGATAGTGTTTGTACATAAACAAGTCATTATTATTGGTTATTGTCCAGCAGTTATAGATTTCTAAGCCAATTAAAAGCTAGAAATTAGAGAACAATTCAAGTTGCCTATACACAGTAAGATTTTTTAATGTTTTTAAAGAAGTCTCTTCTGCTCACCAAGCCCGCATTTATTTGATCCAAAGTACAGCAAAACAGTAACATTTTTAAATATTTTTACTAGGCTATTGAAAATAACTATTTTCTATTTGAATATATTTTAAAATGTAATTTATTGTGATTTCAAAGCTAAATCTTTAGCATCATTACTCCAGCCACACGATCCTTCAGAAATCATTCTGATATTCTGATTTGCTGCTCAAAACACATTTATTATTATTATTATGTTGAAAACAGCAGAGTAGAATTTTTTCAGGTATCTTTGATGAATATAAAGTTCAGAAGAACAGCATTTCTGAAATAGAAATCTTGTGTAACATTATGAATGTCTTTATCATCACTTTTGATCAATTTAAAGCATCCTTGCTAAATAAAAGTATTAATTTCTATCATTTATTTTCCAAAAAATAAAAATTATACTGACTTTAAGCTTTTGAATGGTATAGTGTATGATGTTGCAAAAGCGTTTTATTTTACATAAATGCTGATCTTTGGATCCTTCTATTCTTTAAAAAATCCTGAAAAAAATTTACTCAACTGTTTTAAATATTGATAATAATAATTAAAAAATGTTTCTTGAGCAGCAAATCAGCATATTAGAATGATTTCTGAAGATCATGTGACACTGAAGACTGCAGTAATGATGCTGAAAATACAGCTTTGATCACAGAAATAAATTACATTTTAACAGATATTTACATAGAAAACAGCTGTTTTAGGTTCTAATAATATTTCACAACATTACTGCTTTTGCTGTACTTTGGATCAAATACATGCAGGCTTGGTGAGCAGAAGAGACTTCCTAATGTTTAATAAAACATTAAAAATCTCACTGTTTAAAAACTGTTGACTGGTAGGTTATATAGATTACAGAAATGTTATATTGTAATGTTATATATATATATAACGTTTCTGTCCCCCTCACTTCTGAAAAGATGGCTATGCCCCTGGCTGTGTTGCCAGGTTAACCAAAAAGCTTGCAGGAAACAAAAATGAATAAAAAAATATATTTTATTTTACAAATTATATATTTTGCTATATTCTCAGAGTAGTCAAACAATCCAAAGAAAACATTTAAACCAGAAAGTGGCTCTAAAGCCCAAATCACCCTGGAAACTTGCTGTGTTTTCTGTGTTTACAGTGCCTTAGTTCCTCATTTGGTCAACTTTTCCTTTTTGCCAGGGAAGCCACACTGGAAACGCAGAGGGATTCAAGATCAGCTCCCTGCTAAAACTCACCGAAACCAAAGCAAACAAGAGCCGCATCACACTCTTGCATCACATCCTGGAGGTACAATAGTACAATACACCTCAGTAGCTTTGTTATTTATGACTCAAACTATTTCAGTAATTGAAAAAGTAAAATATAAATATAAGATAGGAAAACTTTTTGAAACTTATTAGATTTAGAATTAGAAATGCCGCCTTGGATATTATTAACTAAAATCAAAACTAAAACCATTAAAAAATGTCATTATTCAAAATAAAATGAACTCAAATAAAATGTATTTAAAAAAAAAAACGCTTATTTCAGCTAGCTGCCTAAGCCAAATTTCTTATTTTCTATTAGTTTAAGCTGAAGTACTAAAATAACTCAAACTAAATAAATTTAAACTTCATAAAAACTAATAAGAAAACTATTCAAAGAAAACTGAAACCATAAAAAACCCTTTCATTACTTGAAATAAAATAAGACAAAATTTCTCATTTTCATTTAGTTTATTGAAGAACTAAAATAACTAAAACTATATTAGTTGGTATTAGTTTATATTTGTAATTTCAGTGCAAGTTCACCCCCAATTTTGATTTTTTTTCCACCATTTACTTTATTTGACCATATTGTTTCAATCCTGTATGACTTAATGAAACAAAGATATCAGACAGAACTGACAAAACCATTTTTAATGACATTCAAATATTTTAATATGGATAGTAAATTTTAAAGTTGCTTTTAATATTAAAAAGTAATATTTTTAATTAATATTACAATGTTAAAATTAAGTCAGTAGTCATTTTTTATTAAAAATAGTTTAATTTAAAAACAATTTAATTAAAAAAATATATATTTTTTTTTTAAATATTATGGTTATATAAATGTTGTTTTTAATATTAAAAATAATTTTAATTGATTTTAGAATATTTTAAGCAATAGGTAATAGTCTAATACTTTCTATAGTAATGTCTAACAAATTTAAAGTAATGTTATTAGTTAATATTAAGTTATTTAAATACTAATTACTAAATATAAAGTTATTTTTTTAATATTAAAAACTATTTTAAGTAGCATTACAATATTTTAATATTAAGTCAATAGTATTTTTTATTAAAAATGTTTAATTAAAAACTGTTTTTAATATGAACATTTTAAAATATTATAGTTGTATAAATATAAAGTTGTTTGTAATATTAAAATATTTATAATGCCTATTAAAATATTAATAGGCAATAGTCATTTTTAATCAAAAAGAAACGTTTTAAGTTAATATTATTTTTTTTAATATTTGACAGTTGTTTTAATATTAAAAGCTATATTTTTAAATATTAATTTTAATACTTAATAGTCTTTTTAATTAAAGACTAATGTTTTTATTAATATTTTAATATTATTATTTGTTTGTATTTGTTTATATAATCTCGGAGCCACTGTTGGATTTATACTCTCAAGCTCCAAAAGAAGCACCATAAACAAAGTTCCTATGACTCGAGCATTTTTATGCCATGTTATTAAATCCTTTTTTGTATATGTCCATTTGCAGAATAAATACTTTTTCTAGGTCAGAATGACATGAGAGTGTGTAAAAGCTCTATATTTTTGGATGAATTACTCTAGTTAAACTCTGCTTTCTTAAAAGCGCTCCTCCTGCTGCTCTCTGTGATCAGTGCTGAATGTCTGTGGATCTTGTGATTTCCAGGAAGCCGAATTAAATCATCCAGAGCTGCTGGAGCTTCCAGACGACATCGAGGCCTGTGAGAAAGCAGCCGGGTAAAACAGTAGATCATCTGAGAGTGTGTGAGAGTGAGTGAGTGAGTGAGTGTGTACTTGTTTATGCTACATTGTGGGGACCGGCCTGTGGTCCCCACGAGGGAAAAAATGATTAAAAATGGTAAATGATATTTATCTGAAATTGTAACAATGCAGACAGGTTTTCTGTAAGGGGTAGGTTTAGGGTTAGGTGATAGAAAATATCATTTGGTCAGTATAAAAGTAATAGAAGTCTATGGAAAGTCCCCACAATTCACAGAAATGAGTGAGTGAGAGAGAGAATGTGTGAGTGTGTGTGTGAGAGTGCGTGTGTGTGTGTGTGTGTGTGTGTGTGTGTGCGCGCGTGTGTGTGTG